CCTTGCAAAGCATTCCTCTCATCCTGCTTCTGTCCTTGCTCGTTTGGCAGGTCCGGGGAAGCAGCGGCTCATCTACCTTTGCATTGACATCTGTTTTCCCAGCAACATTTGTGTGTCAATCTGCTTCTATTACCTCCCTGAGTAAGTCCGGCAGCTGCGGATGCCCTCTCGCTGCCCTACATACTTGAACTGGATTCCTGAAAAGCCTCTGATTTCAACAAGGAAGGTAACATCTACAATACCCCTCCTCCCCCCCAACTTGCAAAGCATTCCTCTCATCCTGCTTCTGTCCTTGCTCGTTTGGCAGGTCCGGGGAAGCAGCGGCTCATCTACCTTTGCATTGACATCTGTTTTCCCAGCAACATTTGTGTGTCAATCTGCTTCTATTACCTCCCTGAGTAAGTCCGGCAGCTGCGGATGCCCTCTCGCTGCCCTACATACTTGAACTGGATTCCTGAAAAGCCTCTGATTTCAACAAGGAAGGTAACATCTACAATATCCCTCCTCCCCCCCCAAAAAAAAGCTTCCTGCTGATTTCATGCTGCGGTTCAGGAGAGTTTAGAAAGAAATAACAGGACTCTGTTCAGCACTGTCAGTATAGACACTTTATTTGAAGCTGTGCTCCAGGGCTGCATCTTGTTCGTAGGTATTAGGAGATCCAGGCCTAGAGGAATCACGTGGAGTAGCTAGTGTTTCACAGCTACACACCCTGTCCAACACAAGGTTGTTAAATTTGTTGGGGGTGGTTGGCTTTGTAAGACTCCAGCTCTCCAAGTCAGTCTGTGAAATACACTTTGAATAAAGGGATTGCAAAACAAGAAAACAGCTGCCTTTCCTCTCTTTGCTCAGCCAATTCCATCGTTTAGAAAGGCTGATTTCTTTATTTTTCCACTTTGGGGTACAAGAAAACCACAAAGCTGTCAGCAGCTGATGCCACAGGGATTCCTCCACCTGAACTATACCCAGTTCCCCTCAGTGGGATTGTGCCTCCCTCTCCCCTTCCCTTTTGTCCAAGTGGCCTCCCTGAGAGGCCACACGTGTTTCGGTGATGATCTGCTTGGAGCTGAAGCCTGGTCTCACCCCAAGCAGACACGGCTGCTTCTGCCAGAGAACAAGCCCTCTCCATCAGAGGAGGGATCGTTACAAGGGCTCCAGAGAAGGTCCTTGCCCTTGTAAGACAAGGGAAAACAAGCAGAGGTCCTTTCCTTCCCACACACAACCATTATCCCAACACGCTGTCATTGAAAGCAAGGCAGACAACTGCTTTCTGGTGGCCACTGTATTCCCTCTTGATCTCTCCTGTCTCCACACACCAAAGTCTGGCCAAATTATCAGAGGAGGCTGAAACAGAAAGGGAAGAGAGGAGTGAGATGTATTGCATTACCCTTTAAACTTTTATTATTATAAGAAAGACTTCCCTCTTGCTTCACTCAACACCGTTATTAGGGCTGTTGATGACAGGTAAGGGAGCTGAGCAGAGCAAGAAGCTTAGTGCATTTCTGCATTACCTGAGGTTTTAATTATTTTGAAGAGAAGTTACTGTAGAAATTACAGCACGTATGTTTTGAAAGGACTTTCGTGCTGTGTACTGCAGGCAGGTGAAATAAACTGCACACAGGAGATGATCTCCCCAGTTTAAAGAGATGCCCTATTGGCAGTGTCCCAGATAGAGAAACCACCAAGTCCAGGCCTGCTGCTGGGGGCCTGGTGTAGCCCAGAGCCAAGCGGTGGGGCAGGGGCAGGAGAGCAGCAGTGCCTCACCTGTGACGATGTACTGGGAGTCCCCGGAGAACGCGCAGTCCCACATCCAGCCCCGGGATGTTTCCCCTGGGTTATTGCTCTTAATGCTCAGCTCTGTCATCAGAGAGAAGTTTGAAGTCCTCCAGATCTTACACGTCTGATCTGCAGAACATGTAGCCAAAAGCCTGCAAGGAAGAGAACTGAATAAGGTTGTGAGGGCAACGCCGTTAGTCCCGCTGTAGGCCTAAGGGCCTCTCATTAATGAGGGCCTGGAACAGTAATCAACTGGAAACTTGCGTTCGTTGTAATCAGATTTCTTTACACCTGTATCATCTGCCCTATGAGATTCAGGCCAAATGGACTCTGTGAAGGAGTTCACCAAGTTCACAACTTTGCTCCACAAGATCAACAATTCTATTTAAGAACAGCTTGTGGCTGCAAAGCTCGCTGACAGAGCTCAAAGCTGGGATGCCACCGACAGCAACCCAGTGCCAGCGTCCCCTGTCCCCCTCCTTCCTGGGCAACCTGCATAGAACCAGCATCAGCCAACAGCTGGAGATCCAGCTGGTCTCCACCAGCCCAGAAAGGCAGGTGAGGGGCTGGCACACACTCACGTGGAGTCGGGGCTGAACTTGCACTGAAGGGCGTAGCGGTTGTGTGCTGGGATCTTGGTCTTGGGGATCAGCTGGGTCACCTCCTCTCCAATGCCACCCGTCAGGTTCCACACGTAGCAATTTCCCTGCGACGAGATGGAGGGATCTATGGCCGGGCTGGTGGTCACCCACCCAAAAGCAGCCCGGATTGTCTATGTCTGACCACAGCAAAGCTGTGGGTGAAGCTGGTAGGTGCAAACAGCCTGTGGAAGGCACAGCCCAGCAGCTGCCAGAGCAGTGTAAATCCCATCCCACGTTTGAGGCCTTAGGAGCTCACCGAGCTGTTGACAGCTGCCATGTAACTGGCATCGGGGTCAATGTGAACCGAATTCACCGAGACTTCGGGCTCTGGAATCAGCTGCTCGTTGTGGTCTGTCTTCAGGTCCCAGATGTGAATGGCACCACTCTGATCACCCACAATTAGCTCCGCCTGCAAGAAAACAGCAGCCTCATCTCTCTGGGGAGAACCCCGTGAGCAGCAGCCCCAAGCCAATGCCCAGACCGTGCCCGTGTAGCACCACATGGAGTCCTGCTCTGGTTTTAAGTATCAGCGTCCTGTTCTGCCTAATTATTCCCCAGCACAGGGCTGTTTCAGAGCTCCAGCAGCCTGCTGACCGCTCCTGTATGCTGAGAGCAAGCAGAGTACTAATCTCACGTTACTCTCCGCAAAAAGGCTGTTTACCTTTACAGAAGTGTTTGCTAATTTTATAAACCCCAGAGCAGACAGCAGCCGCCTGATTTCCAGAACCCGCTGCACAGCTCCAAACAACCTCCAGAGAAGCCAAATTATTTTCAGCACGTCTGAGACGCCGGCATTAAAAGGCAAGTTGGCCAGTGAACAACTGAAGCACTCAAGACTGTACAGATACCTGAAAAACACAAGCCTAAATGGGTTTTTCTCTCTCTCCCCCCTTCTCAGGGGAAGGACAAAAGCCAGCTGAAGGGCAGGAGTTCTGGCTCCGATCCTCTGCTCAGAGCAGAAGATAATGCTGGCGGCTCTCCACTAAAACCAGGGCTTTTATCGACAGTCTTGTGCTGTCCATATTTTTAGCAGAATCCCTAGAGGAGATCAGGTCATCGGGCGCAGCTAATCCTGTACCTGTGATCAAAGGCTCGCTTCCGAGGAAGACAGTCATCGCTCGATACGTTTAGCTGACTGCACAGTGCAGCAGCATCTTCTGGATGCCTCCTTGGCCCCCTCTTAGCAGGTGTAAGTGCAGTTGCTAAAGCCATCATGGCTTTACCCAGGCCAGGAGAAATCTCTTGGATAATTGGATCAGCATCTCTGCAGCAGGGGCTTGCTGTGGGATGAAGCTATCTGAATAAATACTGCCACCTTTGGACTCATTTACTGCGTTCTGCTCACAAACTAACACTTCTCCTGTAACTCAGCAGCGTCTCGGTTAGTGCTTACGTCACACCTAAGATGTACATACGACGGTATTTGTTTTAACGTAATTCATTTTCACGGCACCAGCACTAGAAGAGCATCAGCAGCCTTTGGGCAAAGCCTGGTTCAAAAATTGATCTCAAATCCGATGTGAAATGCTGGACTTGCAAAATTAAACCTTGCAAAATCAAATGCACAAAGAAACATTTCTATTACTCAGCTTTTTAAAAGGTTTGTGCTGCCACGTCTGCAACCAAACCCTGCAGCACTGGGAATACAGCCCGGACCAGACGGGTTATTAACTCTGCCATGATACCTATTGATTTTCACTGCCGGCCCCTCTAATGCACCGTGCTCCCTTTCAGCCTCATCTCCCCAGCCCCAGCCATCCCTCTGTTTATCGACAGCTCCTAAACCAAATGGTGAATCTCGACCAAATCTGACTGAAGTCCTAAAGACAACGGGAGCCACGGGCCCCAAGATGCTTTTTCTTGGCAGCGGTGCCACCCTCAAGCTTCCCAGCCCGCCCCGTGCCACCAATTCCACTCCCATCACATCCCCTTGGTTATGTTCTTGGGACAGAGATGGCCTCAAAGGAGTGTCCCCTCCTACGGGAAGACAGGCTCACAACCACTAGATAATTAGCACAAACACATCGGCTGGCAAATAAGCTCAAATTGGACGCCTGCCGCGGGCACAACGTGAGCCTGCGGTACCTGCTCGCTCCCGGCACCGCTGCTCGGGGAGGTTGTCTCCACTGCACAGAGCAGCGTCGGTGCCTGTCGTGGCAGCTCCTGTGACACGTGGGCTGCCTTCCCACACACGTTCAAAGCTCCTGGTGGCAGCAGCTTAGCGAGGGAGCAGGCAAACGGGCAGCCTGGGTGTGGAAAGCTGGCCACTGCTTGTCCACCAATGCCACCCAGAGCTCGCGGGTCTGTGCCACCAAGAAGGCCACCCTTCCCTGCCAGCCCTCAGATTTTTTCGCTGCGTCCGCCCGTATAAAACTCCGCAGCCCCTCAGGTTTACCTGGAGGAGCCACGAGAAAAGCAGGAGCTGGGAAATGACAGAGGAGCCGGTGCTCACCTGGTTGGGGTGCAGGCAGACACAGTTAATGGGAGCGTTCACCTGGAAAATCCGCTGGCACTGGAGGTTACGAGACCTGCAGCGGAAGGGGGAGAAAGGAGAGCGTTTTAAGAGCGTGCAAGTGGCTCCACCACCTCTGGAGTGCTGCTGGAGGGGGGACACCCCGGCCTCTGCCCACCTCAGGTCCCAGATCCTGGCCATGCAGTCCTCCCCGCCCGTGTACATCCACCGCCCGTCCTCGTGGAAGCCCACCGAGGTGATGTTCTTGCTCACGCCGTCGTAGTTAATGACGGGGTTGGGGTTGTTGGAGTTGAGGTCGTACATGCGGATGTGCTGGTAGCCTGCGGACACCACCGGGGTGGGGGGGTGACCACCATCCCCCCCGTGCCCAGTGCCCGGGGGCTGCAGGGGGGGGTGGTGTGGGGCTCACCTGCGGCTGCGATCATGCTCCGGTCTGGCGTGATCTCCAGCGCGTTGACCTGCTGCGGGAGCCCGTTAAGGTCGGTAAGAAGAAGCAGAAGCCGGGACCCGACAGGGGTGACACCGAGGTAACGGTGCCGGTGTGGGGGGGTGGACGGCCCTGCCAGGCCCCGGTGAAGGATACAGAGTCCTGGTGCTGGACGGTGCGGGTGCAGATGCCGCTGTGCGCCTGCCAGAACCGCACCGTGTGGTCGTAGCCGGCCGTAGCCAGGATAACGGGGTCGCTGCCCACCGTGCCCTGAGCGGCGTTCATGCTGCCGCCACCGGGGGCCCGTTCAGCGTCCCCACACACACACACACCCCCCCTCCCCCCCGCCGCCGCCGCCTCCCGGTCCCGGCCCAGGGACCACCCTGCCCACGCTCAGCCCGGTGTCACTCTGTGCCACGGGAGAGCCCGGAGACCGCTCTCCCCCCACCCCGCTCTCTCCCGGTACCGGCAGCAGCGGCCGGCGCAGGGGGCACGGCTCACTCTGCGCATGCGCCGGGCGGCCCGAGGGGGGCGCTGCTGAGTGCGCATGCGCGCGGCCTCTCCGGGCGTCTTCCGCCAGGGGGCGCATGCGCAAGAGCGCGGCGGTGGGCGATACCAACGCGCTGGGGAGGGGGGTGTGAGGCGAGACCACTGGGCACGTGGTGGGGGGATAACAGTTCCAGCCGCGCCGCCAGGGGGCGCAGCGCCGGGGGCGGGTGTGCAGCGCCGAG